AGCTTTGTTTTACATAAATCATTTAGCAAATGTAAAAATTGCAGCTATGTAAACTAAGTAGTAAAACTATTTTGGGCAATATCTAAGTAAACATATCAAATTTAAAGTAGTCATTTCAACGACATGAAAATATACCCAACCCATTTGCAATATATACATACACATATATATGTACACATCAAAGTTTTGTACTAATTGCTAAGCGTAAATTGTTACAAACATTCATCTTCTACTTGTGTGTATGTATTTAAATTTTTTTATATATTTTATTAGAATTTGTATTATCTTATCAATATTATATTTCCCTTTTTTAATTTAAAGCGTAAAATGCGCTAAAGTTTATTTAACAGATTTATTACTTTAAGTTTGTTAAATTTCCAAACTCCAAATTGAGCCGTACTTGAAAATTGCTAATTTTTGCACTTTTGAAATGAGTAAAAGCTAAGTTTTCTATGTTTAGACCCATTTGTAAATACCTATGATCATAAATATACAATGTCTGTCCGTATTATGCGCAGACCAAGTAATTAACTCTTTTATTATAATGCAAAAAAATTAGCTAAAATATGTAATAAATAAAATGTATAAACCAGCAATGTTTTGTGAGGGGTTAATGAAACTGCGGAGTATCTACCATATTGTGCTATCAAGCATTTGCTTTTCCAATATAAGAAGAATATAAAATACAAGCGTATTTATTTACCAAAAGTAGTGTTCAACAAGGTAAGCGACATACATACATGTATGTTTGTGCGTATCCGCATATTTTTGCATCTTTTAAACTCGGTTCTCATAGATAAAATATGAGAATTTGATGTTGATGAACAGATGAGGTATCACAAATATAAACGAAAATATGTTGATAATATATAATATAATTAAATGAAAATATACTTTATAAGTCTTATGTTCTTCTTAAAAGAAGCAATTACGCGATATGAAACGATGTATCACTTATAGGAAGGAACATTTCGAGCTAAGAATTTTATATGCTGACATGTTGTAACTCCTATCCAAGGTATGCACTACAAGCAATTCGATAAGCATTGTTTGAAAACATACTTGATCGCTCATAAAGATTTTGTTATCTACATAAATAATTGTTGCACATGCCTTTAATTCTGTTATATTATAAATTAACTAAAACTTCCGTAGTAATCACATGTAAGTATGTGCAAAATTATATGCTACTGTAAACAATTAAAGACATACTTTAACACAAACAATTAAAGATATGCTATATTTGTAATTATTGTGGCAACATAAAAACAACTAAAGCCACATTCACAAAATATCTTCTAGGCTTTGCGTCACAGTTCATACTTAAGCAACGAAGCACAGAAAACAAAGGGAATGCCACAAGAAAAGCTTCATTTTCAGTGGCTTTCTCTAAAAAAAAAATGTTGACTGTGGCTTGGAAAAGCGTAACAAGAAGAGAGGCCAAGCAACCTAGCGTCGAAAATAATGTACATCGAACTTTTCTGTCGCAGCAAATGTCAGATGCAAAGCGAAGCAAAAGTTCTATCTGAATTGGCCATAATAAATCATATAATAAGCATATGATTACTTGTGTACACTACTAATTTCCAGTGAAGCTTGATTCGGTGATGTGACAAAATGAAATGTTGCAACTCTTCAGGAATCGGATAAATGAAATCCAAAATTATATATATTAGTACTAACATCAGCACCCTAATAAATTATTCAATTATTGTTTTTGTTAGTTTTACTATTAAAAGTTTATGAAAAGGCTAATTTACGTAATCGCTTTCTTCATAGCCATATTAACTGAGTTACTATAAAAAATGAATTATTGTTACAGATTTAAATTCAAAGCATTTGCAACAAGGCAAAATGAAAAACACACATATATNAATAGTGAAATATAGTGTATATTAACGTTGCAACTATTGTTATAGAATACTGATATTTAATCTTGTATTACAGGCATACTCATTTACATTAACAAAGTACGCATGCAAAATTAATAACTTGCTTCTGTATAATATAATATGCTTATTTGATTTTGGCTCAACGAGTTGTAATCTGCATATCGTCACCTGAAATGCAAAATAACGTATCATCAAAAAATTCGAAATTGCGTGTCTTATTGATTGCGCTTCACTACTTCAAATTACATACATACTATTACATATTTTCAACATTTTCAGATTCTGCGATTAGATATAAACGAGTTTTAACCAATATTAAAATTTTGTTTCACTCATGTTCCATTTTATTTCGTTTTTCATTCATGTCACTGTAAATTTCAGAACGTTGTTACGTTATTTTGCATTTCAGGTGACGATATACTAATCTATACATAGAAGTATTTAAGCTTAAGCGATTTTTTCTCAAAAAACAAATACATATAGTACGTATGTATGCACATTCATACAGACATATGTATGTATGTACGTTATTTTTACCTATACTATATACATATGTACGTACATATATTTAAACGAACCCATGGACGAAATGTGTGAATTAACCATATACATATGAATAAAATGAGGATACTGGATAATATTAAACAATTTAATTATACTTACGCATATAGAAAAAGAAATAAAAATTAAAAAGCCTATATACTTTGTTTTGATTATATAAGTATGATCCTGTTACTAGAGATGTATTCCAGCTCCATTATTGAAACGTGAATTCTGCCGAGTTGACAGTCCTTGGCCGGATAAAAATCCGGGTCTGTTCCGGTTACGCAGACCCGACTGTTGTGACAACGGTGCCGACATTAATAACGAAATGCGTTCACCTATTGAAGTCAAGTTTTCAACCTCAGAGGCAATCTAAACGAAAACACTAAAATTGTGTGAGCTTTGTGCGAAAAAATGAAATCAAACCCATTAGTTTTAAATAAGGGGTTAGGGGTAGTCAGAGGCACGAAAAAATTATAATTTTCAGTATTTTTTTTTTTTTTGCTATTAAATAGTGTTATTTTACAACAGTAGTAATATGGCAATATTATAGAATATGCTTACTTGAAGTAACGCAAATTTCAAAAAGCAAAAAAAATTAATTTCCAAAATTGTAGGAGTTTGTGTTGACCCAGTTAAAAAAAAAGGTACTTGCGGTGACAACCATAAGTCCTTGGAGCTTCATCTAAAATCAATCGGACAAAAAAAATTAGTTTTATAAATCGATAATCCTGAGCCTTCGAAGGATTTTTTTTTCAAAAATTAACAAAATGGCGGCCTCATAAAATTTTTTCCTAAAATTTTGGGAAAAAATCAACAGTTGATTGGTCTTAAAAAATCGAAATTTTTTTCAGAAACTAATTATCGTGAAATTTTCAGAGAATATTTTTAAGATATTTCAATTAACGAAAATGCAAAAAAAAAAAAAAAAAAATAATAATTTTTTATTCAATTGAAAGTTTTTTCGGATCAAATTATTGTCGATGATACCGAACTTAAAAATTTCAATTAAAAAACAGTTCAGTTGTAAACCGCAATAGGTCTAATGGAATAAATATGTGTAACGAATTTTTACTCCGCAGTGAGTAATAATCATTGTAATTGGACACGTCGTTAATTAGAAGTGACTTTGAATCCACATCGTTTTTTTTTCTTCTCATTTTATATTTTTATTGTATAAATAAAACTCCAAGATAGATTTGTATAATCACTTATGCTTTTTTAATTTTCTTTTTAAAAAGTAACAAGTAACTTTATAAACCGTACAAAAGGAAATTAATACGGCATCAACCGTGCCATGTTTATGGTCACAAGCATCGTCAGCTTGATGATAACAATAATGCTTATACATATATGCAAATGGGGTTACTTTAATAATCGTATATTTATGATAAGTATAAAAAACTATTAACAACACAATAAGGCATTACAATATTCTTTCCTAGCCAATCGGAACATTCTTACGCATACAAAGACACAAGTCAACGCTTAATTTTTTCTCTACATCTGATATTTATATTAATTACAAATTAATTCACAGAATACATCATTGTAAAATAGTACTAAAATAACAATTTCCCTTCTTTCTTCTTACAAAACACAGCTATGGTTTTTTTGTTTTATAAATTTCACAAATTTTTATACCCTTGCAACTTGTTGGTACAGGTGCTGTTCATCAAACGGTTGTACGTATCGAATATAACTAAGCGAGATAGATATATGGTTAGATTTATACAAATGATCAGGTCGACGTCAAGAGCTGAAATCCAGGTGATCGTCTGTCCTTTCGTCCGTGCGTGGAAGCTGTAACTTGAGTAAAAATTGAGATATTTTACTGAAACTTGGTATACGCGTTCGTTGGCAAAAAATACTTCGAGTTTGATGATGGACGTAATCGGAGCACCTCCACCCCCACAAAACGAACTTCCAGGCTGTGAATATGTGGTCCCAGTGCTTTAGTTGCCTTTTTACCGAAGATTTCGGTCAATGTGTGAGATATATAATTGAAATTCACAGATAATCCTTTCCTGATAGTAGTATGGTATGTCTGTATGCCACAAATGGGTTGAATCGAGTCAATACTACCCATAGCCACCACATAGCTAATAAAAGGTTCTCGAACTTCCGGGCGACTTTATATTGCATACATATGTACATATATCGGCTTAATAAAATTGAGAGGGTGGGTTTCCTTATAACTTGCACATTTGTGTTTAGAATGAATAAAATTGGGTGAAACCTCGCTGTAGATCCCGTATAACTAACAAGCTTACAAGTATTTACTTGAAGGTACTTCCCTGGCTTTAGTCTTTGCAAGTTGCAAGAGTATAAAATGTTCGGTTATATCCGAAGTTAGCTCTTCCTTACTTGTTAAAATATGTTTCTCTTTATCTAAAATATGATTTTTACGTTGATAATGACAGTCTAATATTTTATTTTTACTCTAAAAACTTTTGGGCAATTTTATGATTTCTTTCTAGTTCGTCTTAAACTAATTGCTTCTTATTTATATATCTCTTTATGTAGGTGTATCAATGTGTGCACGTTTTCACATTTGCATATTTATGTGTGCTTCAAAGGGCTAGATGCTTTTCATTGTTTTCGGCGCAGTGACGCAGTGATGTGTTTACATTTTAATCTTGACCAAAGTGTTCCCTTCTCTCGCATATCTTTACCGAAATTTAATTGGTATAATTTTTGGTTAATCATTTGTTTCCCTTTATATAGTATTAGTGCTTTCTTTGTGTTTCTTGCATATAAAATGTATATGTATATATGTATATATTTATGTATGCGTATGTGTATATTTATAGTATATATGTATTTAATCATAAGAATTATGTTTGTTTTCTTCTCTCTATTGGTGTGTGTATGTGTTTGTATGCTTAATCACAATGAGATCATGTCATATAGCGCATTATTTCACGCAACGCGTAAAGCAGTTCGGCCTGGTTGCGGGCCTCCATTATCATCAAATTAACATGAACCTGCAGATAGATAAAATTACTTCAATGGTATTTAATATTACTACTGTACATAATTATGATATATACATATGTATGTATAGTATGAACGACCCTAGCGCACTCACGTCTTTTTATCATTCCACAACCGTAAATTTAATGAAATAGACTTTAAAAACATTTTGAATACTTTCTCACCTTTTCACTGTCTTGCAGTTCGACAAGTATACTGTCGTAGTCCTTTGTGGTAATCCTTTCTGGGAAGCAGCAGGCTGTTTTTATGAACATTTTTAAAGGACGATCCAATAACTGTTAATTAGTTTATAAAAAATATTATTTAAGCTGAAATTAACTTGAAAACATGTCTACGCGTTTAAAATACTACCATAAATACACAATTGCGTAATAGTAGTTATGTACATGCGATAATTTTGAACTTTCTTTCGGTGCAATCACATGTTTGTATTTATTTATTTGTGTGCGTGTGTTTTTTGGTGAGTGTTGAATCCATTTAAACTTTTGATAAACTCTAAAGAAAATGACATAATTTTTTAGCAGCAGTTAAATTCATTTATTAACTCAGTTTAACAAATAAAAGCTGGAAAATGTATTATTTTTACACACTATTATCGAACGGCAGCTGAACGCGCGCAATAATAGAGGAGTAATAGCGGTATAATTAGTAACATTTTGTACATACATACGTGACAACAAACAAAGTATCTCGGTACATAAATTAAAAACTGATTTTGTTTAATTACTCAATCGGTTAAATTCTTAAAATCATTATAATATTTCTCTTCAGTTAAAAGCTCGCCAATTTTTTACAAACAAATCGCAATACCATTGCGTGCAATTAAAAGCAGATGCTCCACCAACGCCGTGCAACCAAGCGCGGCCCTCATACACACATAAAACATTAAATTTGTTGCATTTGCATTGTAGAACGGAAAAAAAGTTCGGATACACACGTACGCATTTATTCACCTGATTCACTTCACCGTAATCGTAATCGTCATGGCGTATACCGTAGATGCACTGGATGTAATTCCATATGGCCCGACGGAATTTCGACGTGTCCACATTGCGGTAGCCGCCCATGGTGAAGTACGTCAGATTGTAGGCGGCACGAAATTTTTGATCCAAAAGAGTACCAACATCGCTGTACAGACTATGGGAAGAATAAAATTTTGATTTTTGCTTAGAACGAGTTAAGAATCTTGACGCATTCATGTCTTACCCATTAACCAACGAGTAGCCGTGATCGTCCCACGAGTAGTCTTGAACACGGAAGGTGGAGGGTATATTTTCGGCACCACGACGCGCAAAATCCTGATATGTGAAGGTGGGATCCTCGATGTAGTGTGAGATAATTGGAGGTACTTTGATGGCGGCTTCGAGAGCGGCTGCAGGTAGTTCGGCGGTTTGCATCTCAACGCTTTTAAAACGGTTACTCAGTTCTGCTTCGCTGCACTCGTCATGTTTTTGTGAGAGCTCTTTCATGCGTTCCACCAGCGCCTCTACCGGCACATTCGGTTGGGGCGAGCCGGAAGCTATTTTATATGAAATTCAAAATATGAGCTATGTTCATATGGATAAACCGTGTTTACTTATGCTTACGAGTATGTTTAGCAACACCATTGCTGGTTGCACCATGTGTGGTGATGTCAGTGGGCATAGATGGGCTGCCGCTTATATTTGGCACGTTATTATTGTACAACTGATGATTACTATGATCTAGTACGTTGTTGTTGTTGTTGATTGTTATCTCACTTAGGACAGCCTTCTGTTGTTGTGGTATTTGTTGTTGCAACGGTGGTAGCGGTTGGTTCGTCGACAATTGCTGCTGGGCGGCAGACAATAGTGCCGGAGCAGTCTTTAATTTAGGACTAGACAGACCATCTAGTTTTTGTGTGAGACCGCAGGAGAATACAAAGGAGGATAGCGAATGAAAATGCGAGAGCAGAACCATTGCATGCACCACTTCGGACAGCGACCAGCTGTTTTTGCCTTTCGTTAGACCCTGCGGGGGAATCAATGATAGAGTTACATTGAAATTTATTGTGAGGCTAGCCCTCTACCTCGCGAAATTCAAACTCACCTCGATGTGTTCTTTGCGTAGCAGCCACGGTCGATGGGCTAGTATTTTATTTATATCATATATGGCACGTAATTTTGATGGGATGTAATCTAAGCCATTCAGCCACTCGACCTTGCCACCCTGATTGATGAACTTCTTCTCATACATTTTCACAAGGTATGGGCATTGATGCCGGGCTGCAGCCTAGAAAAAAAGAAGAATAACGGTTTATATAATATTAACAATAAACACAATTGATTATGAAACAACAACAACAATGAATTATTAATGTATATGCTCGTGACCGGTTAAGTCAGCATGCTGGAGTTGCCTTCATCGGATATGGAGTAAAGTTTTGTATAAAACAAAAAAAAAATTTAACTTCGGCTGCCTATAACAAAAACAGAAAACATAACCGGCTAACAGTAAAAAGCTCCAAGTCGATTTAAGGTTCGCAGTTTGAATGGCAGCTATATGCTATAGTAGTCCGGTCTGAAAAATTTATTCGAAGATTATAGCGTTGTCTTGGACAATAATCTGTGTCAAATAAAAAAAAGTTTACCATGGACTTGAGTTTGTTTTGGTAGTTTGTATGATTCCGGCATTTGAGCTGCGTCTTGTGGAAAAAGGACGCTGGTCAGTTTTTGAATATTGTAGAGACCCAGTATTGTCATCCAACAAATAAGTTTTACCAAAAATTCATTTTCAGGAGAAATACATTCCGTGCGTCGAAAGAGATATTCACGTAATTTCTCCTCGCCTTCCTAAAAATCCAAATAGCCATTCCATTACATGTCGGCAATAAATTTTTCGCTGCACTTAAATAGCCAAAAAATTATCATGATTCATGAATGAGTGAATTACATTTCGAGAACAACAGATGAGCATCACTAACATGAAAACAAGTATGTATCTCTAGTGCCAAAGAGATAAAGATAAAGACGTGTGAAGAACAATCGCGCAAGCAAAAAAACTTTTGCAATTACAACTGATTTATTGTATGCCGTCGATTATTTGGGTTAATTTGCTGAAAACTCGTGCCATCAAACGGATAATTTTTAAGAAATAAAATTCAATTTTTAATGCTAATTAAAAAACAAAGTACCTGACATACATATGTATGTATATATATTTGTGTCTATGATGTGTGGTCCTATTGCATTTGCACAGATGCGTGCCGTTTTGGCTGGTTTTGACTGCCCGGTCCACTGGGTGTGCGCTGCAGTTGCTTGTAGGTATATGCAAATGACGGCGAGTGCAATGAATGCACAAATGAAAAGCTCACGCATTTTAGTGCGTAATGCGTAACGCATCGTTAAAAAATTACAAGCACAACAGCGCACACCTCTGACTCATACCTACCCGTTATACACGATGCTCAAATCCCGATCTCTGGTTGATGATGTATGAAAGCATTTTCTTCGAAAAGTTATCGTTTCTTTTTTTCAAAACTTTTTTACTCAATTGTGCAACAAAGGAATATAAGGAATGTTTTATTTATGGTTGTAGTGAAAAGCTGAGAAATTAATATTTATAGTTTATATTTTGTCCAAGACTTCAGAGCATGTTCTGTTGAATATATCTTAGCTTTCATAGTTTCACTGTGAAAAGGCTGGAAATATTTTGTACCGTTTCAATAATTCTAATATAATCTATATGAAAATGTTTTGGGTATTTGAAAAACACACTATTTTTACGTTTATAAATATGTATAGTATGAACTACATATGTACGTACATATATGTATTTCGTTCACTCCCACAAACTAAGACAAACCTAACTCTCCCTTACGTTTTGATTCAAATATGTACAAGTATGTTAGCATAACAGCCGGTTCTTATAATATGTAGGAAACGTACAGATGAATAATATTTAATATTGCATTTTTTGTTATTCAGCATTTTTTTGTCTGTGAAACGCCAATAATTAAGCAGCAATAATTTTCTATATAATTATGTATATATACGATAAACTTATATGAACGCATTTGAAATCATCGTTGAGATCTGAAATTAGAGGAGGTACCACATGAACAGTTCGCTGGATTCTCTAACTCGCTGCGATGGCCACTGCTGCTTGTTTTGCTCTAAAAACTCAAATGGCGTTATTGTTCTGTTGATTTGCACGATTGTCTTTCTTTGTATAAAATATATTATTATGAATGTATTTTATTAATTCATATAATATTATTTTTAAAGAACTTGTGTGCGCGTTCAAACCAAACAACAAACGTAAATACATGCTTACAAGCACACATCTACATATTTATATATGTATGCATATATATCTATAATAGTGTACATCTCATTAAAATGCAACAATAAAAATGTGAATAATATGTTAGATCAGCCATAATTCGAGCGGCTTCAACAATACAATAACAACGAACATTGACATTCAACTCATTAGCATTCACAATATAACTAAATGTTATTTTATTTTTTATTTATAAATAAAGTATACATTCCGTTTTGCTTCATTTGTCATATTTTCCTAACACCAAAGAACCTGAGTATCATATTTAAGCTTCGAGTATGTAATTTAGGGTTTTTCTAAGGTTATCCATTAATATGCACCATGATATATAAGACCTTTAATGCGTTTTCTATTCACACATAAAAATAAGAAAAATTGATGAAAACCTGGCGCTCTAGTGAATAACTGAGCGGCAGGATTTTAAACTGGTATTGGTTAAATTACTTAGCACTGCCGGCAACGATGGTGACGGTTCTTAATTACAAAAAAATATTTTGCCTTTATTTGCTAGATAAAAGTTACACGGATTCCTTGGTAGGCATTATAAACAATAAGCCACACAAGAATTCCTTTGTTCTGTGATCGCCAAGGCAATAAATAGAACAGATACATATGTACACACATGCAGACAGATCATATGCAAACGTACATATGTACATATGCATATGCTCGGCATTCCGACTTGTGTAAATGCTCGAGTTATGGCGAATAAAATTTGATGGGCATTAGCTTAGGTTAGATACGACGACGTTTGAAAAAGAAGATACATATGTACATATTTAAAAATCGTAAGTATCTATAGGAACAGCATGTTAACTGCTGAGGTTACTTATACGCACTATCATACAATTTACTAAGGCGATGGGTTGTGTCCACACATATCGTATTTATTTACATGTATTATCTAATTCATTTGACAAATAAATATATTTATTACACAACTCGTTACATGTTTATCATCAACTTTTCCAAAACAATTCTAAATACTTTTCGTTCTTCAGTTTTTTTTAAACACATTTAGTTGAATAGATGTGTGTATGTACATATGTACATGCACATAGCTAAATGCTGATGCTTCTGTGCACAAACAACAGTCACAATTGTAGCCAAACAGTCTCATAGGACAAAAATTTGCATTTGAACAAAGAGAAATAAACAAGCTACACATTCGCCTGCTGTAAATGTTGATCTGCTTTCTGTGCCAAATTTATTTTGCTTTGCTTTCATTGTTGGTGCAGTGTGTGAGTAAGTAAAAGTGGCAAGCAGCAGCACGGTTTATTCACACATGTTGACACTGTGGCTGACATGCCAAATAGCTGAGATGCGCAAATGAATACTCAGCGCATGAAATATAAAAAAATACAATGACGGTTTTTGTAGTAGGATCTGTTGCAGTGAGCAGTCAAGTTTATTGCTTTTATTTGTTTCATGCTTTTCTTTTGTTGTTGTTTGTTTTAAAAGCTATTTCGGATGACTCTAACCGTTGCTCTGCTCGTGTCGCTCACTGCAGCTAGCGAGCGTTGTCGGCAGCGTAGAGCGTTTCGGTTGGAACCTTTGTAAATGTTGTTTCTGCTCTTGTTGTTGTTGATAGCATTAGCGATTCGATGGACCGCCGTTGACCGCCGCATAGAGCAGAAGTCTTATGTTTACAATTAAGCAACACGAGTATACAGAAAACAAAAATAACAACATCTAACCCGCTAACTTACGTTTCCTATCTAAGCTCAAAATGCTTTGTATGCACAAAAACAAAGCACTATGTACATATGTATAGTATTTAATACAAAATCCACGTACGAATAATGCAAAAGTCAACCAATCGAACTAGTCAGGAAAATATCCGTTTTTCTTCATCTAAATATTTGGTGCACTTCATATCATTTTTGTTAACTTTAAAGATAAAAGGTTGACTTTTGGAACATTTGAGGTTGATTGGGTAAATATTTACGGTTCATATGGCACTAGTAACAGACTAACATATTTATGACGATATTCTGCAAAAAATATCAGTTGTTGTATGAAAATATACTCTCGAACGACCAGTTGGGTATTCGATTCATTACAGTTGTATAGTATATATGGTTATAACAAGTGGATTTCTCTGCGGGGCAAGCGAACGATTTTATGTGAGCGTGTGTGTAAGTAGGCTAGTGCAGCGCAGATGTAGACTCGCCGCTACTTTTAATGTTGATTTCTAAATTATCACAAGTTTCTATAAATAGATTTACATACGCACATACATACATACATGTATAGCAACAACAGATGTACCGCTATACGCATTAGGAAATGGGGCCAATGAATGGGTGGCAGAATAAATGTTTTATTTTTGTTATCAGAATGAACTTTTCGAAATAAAGAAAAGTGTAAAAAATAAATATGGGTAACAGGATATAAATCAGGTGCGCCTCCACGCGGTGCATCTTGGATATGACTTGTGGCCGGTCTTCATGGTAAAACTCATACGGACGATCCAACTCGGGCCCACACGGAACTATCCTTAGTTTTTGAATTTGATTGTAACATGGACAGGTAGCCTCCGTCCCGTTAAAACCGTGATAGGCCTCAGAGTACCTCCCCCTCTCGCCATAATTAAGACTTCCTGCTGGTCGGCTCTGAACGCACAACCCTATGAGGCCCCATTACTGAGACAACCTTGGGACCGTGAGAGCCGACTATCTTTTCGGGAGGTGGATAGCAGCTCTGAGTAGGGACCCATATAACATGGAAGCTAGTATGTGTTCAAAAAGTGACGTGGGAAATCGACCTCTTCGAAAAGAGACGAGAAGACGGAACCGTCTTCTGGGAAACGTAGAACGTAGGTGGTACCACTGGCTGAGTGACGGTGATGTAGATTTAAAACCGGCTTTGAAATGCCAGAGATGGCAGGAGGGGAACGAATTCTTCGACAAGAAGCCAGAGACAGGAGCGGTATCAACGTTTATAGA